TTAATCGAGGATATGAAGACCAAAATAGTGGAATTTGATATAATTGCAATCTTCTCTCGACGCATATTAGCGGGTTGACATGGTTTTCGCAACTTGATCCTGTTGTCAGGGCGACTTAGTTGGGCTCACCTTATCCTCTGCTTTATTTGTTATCATAATTCCATGCGTTTGAATGCGTACTTAGTATATTCATAGACGTTTCGCAGGCATCGTCAGTGAATCTTCACACTCTCAGCACCAAACTAAAATGCGTCAGAGACCAATAAAGTCAATCTTTTGATTAAACTTTCTGCTGAAAAGGCAGTGTTATTACTCCTCGTTCTGTCCTGGTCCATCTATTTACTCTCTATCCTCTTATTTCACACTAGCCTTATCACAAAAATGAGTCGTTTATATTCCATTCCTCCAGAATTTAGTAAGCAAAGTATTCAGACAAAACTCGTATTATAAAATCGTAAGCTTCACGCATCAACTTTAAATCGACTAAAACATTGCTCATTGTAAAGAATCGGTCAGGATTACTATGCTCAAAAAAATTTGATGGAGGAAATAAGAGCTAAAAGAAGATGAAATTTCAAGCCAGTATGAAGGACTTGTTAGATTAACTGATAGATCTAGAATTGCCTAGAGAAAAACTAATTTTTTCCCTCCCTAGAAACGTAAGACCTTATGTTATAAAAGTTTAGCACTTTAGCAATCTGATAGGTGCGAAGGAATAATAAATTAAGCGAAAACAAGGGACAAAATCGCTTATAGAGGCCAAGTCTATAGAGGATACTTTAATTGTAATTATATAAATTGCTCTATATCAGTAAGAAAAAGGAAAATCTGCAGAAAATATGCCCTGGATAGTTGGCTATTAAGTTTGTCAATAACACAACAATAAAGCAACATCAAATGGTAGGCCAGATCTTGGCAATAAACGAAAACTAAGCAGTCTAGGTTATCAGGTGGATAAGACTTAGGAAATAGATATGCGAATAAAAAGTTAGGCATGTGAAAAAAAGGTAAAAGGGAAGAAAATCTAAAGTACCTTCGAGAGAAAGACGTGTAGAAACATCATTAGTAGGTTGTGGCCATGAAGCGTCAAAGACTGAGCCTTTGCGATTGAGCACGACACGCCAAAGGTGTTCACAAAGGTGAGAGCAAATGGGACTGAACAGGATTATCTGGGTTTCAATGTAAAACTTAAGAAGGTCTGCATGCATATTGGCCTGACTGACTTCGCGATAACGATCACGACAAGACTAAAAAAGAAAGAAAATGATTTTACAAGAGTAAATTAGTGATAGAAGTGGGTTGACCTCGATTGTGCAGTTAGTTCTACGCACCCTGTTCGAGGTCCTCTGCCATAGTGGTTATCATAACTCCCATCGTCGGACCGTGGACTTGGTGCATTCACAGACGTTTCGCCAGTATCGTAGTGAGCATCTGGCCCAAGCTAGAGCTCGTCAGAGACAAGTGAAGTCAATACCTAGGCTAAACTTCCAGCCAAAACGATTGTGCTATCACTCTTTCTGTCCTGGCCCATCTACTCTCTTGTCATAAACCCGAACTATCACAACTTCTTACTTGTTTAAATTCCATTCGTCAAGGAGTTTGCCTTTTTTGGCAAGTGCGGCGTCATCACACCCGATGTTTAGCTTGCTCCCCTCTTTCGATTAGGTGATCCGACTTAAGCCTCCTATCCAGACTCCTTCATGGTCCCGTATATCCTTTTCGTATCTTTCTGCTTGACCAATTTCACTTGGTTCCAGTCACAATGTACGTTTTACTCTAGGCGCTATTTCTCAAGCCCTTAAAAATACATACACAGTCGACTTATCGAACAGAGTCAAGGCTCTGATTCCCATGCTTGCATAAATTTAGCATTGCCTTCATGAGTGGTCAAAGGTTAAATCTGCGTAACCCGAGGAAACTATGGACGCTTAACCCTGGTTGCAAATTGCATTTCGAGCGGACTTTTAGTACATTCTTGCGCTAATGCGCAATTTCTGTGACAATTGTGATTATCCGTCGCCCTAGTGATTTAACCGCCAGGCCCCAAAGTTGTAGTTTCCTTCGAGCGTACTACATTCATTAAGCATGAAAAATAGCGCACGGAGTAAAACGTACATTGTGATTGAAACTGGGAGTTATAATAATCACTATAGCAGGGGACCTCGGACAAGGTGCGTACAACTAAGTAGCCCTGACAACACGATCAAGTTGGTAAAACGAAGCCAACCTACTTCTATATATCTAAAGGAGACGGCGCTCATACCAATGACCACACCACTTTGGTTTTCATATCTTCAATCAAACTATTAATATTAGCATCATAAGGCTGATGAATCCTGACAATTTTTACCTAAGTTTAAGAATAGTAAATTACAACACGAGTACTCTATCTACCGACTAGTACAAATAAAAGATCATTTTGAAGGTTTCGATAATACTTATCATCATTATATCCCAAAACAAGAAGATATCAAGAAATAAGGGAATATAATATGAAATTTTAGGAATCTGAGATTAATAAATGTGCCACGATTGCCCTTGCGTCACATGGCAATGTGAATTTCAAGAGGCTAGGCCTTTTCCTCCTTTGAAATTGACATATGCCCTGTAGCACAAGGGCACTTGTGGTAATGTGGCCGATTGGTTAACGTATCAAGCTCTCATGCTGCACTATCACGGTTCGACTCTCGTTAAGGCGAGGTCGAAACTGTAGTCCACCCCGGATGAGAACAACTTTTGGGAAAGCAAGGCTATGTTAAATTCAATGGAGACGTCAGCTCTACTCATATCATTGTGGGTAAATTCTACTACCAGTCATTCATCATGTTAAACTAAAATAGAGTGAATACATCTCGTATTGATGTAATACTGTAAAAATCGAATTTAAAAGCGCCATAAATATTTTAAAATAAAATAAGATAATATGGTCAGGTAATCTTAGAGAAGTATATCAACCCTATTTGGCTTATCGTAAAAAATTAAATTTTTCCACGATAAGATCGGTAGACCCTACGTTTTGATTGAATTTAACATAGCCTCAATTCCAAAGTTATTCTCATGAAGGTTGTAACGGTAATAGAACTATGATAGTGCGTACGATAGCGTATAATCTCAACACGTTAACCAATACGCCACAAAGCCACGAGTGCCATTGGGTCACAGGGCAGATGTTAATTTCAATGAAGACCAAGGATTTTTCCATATCATATTCTGTGATGAGGTTGTCGAAAAAGCAAAGTTGAATTTGCTATAGCAATCGATTAAATTACTTACTTTTCGTTTATAAATAGTCTATTGTTATAGCAAATATAACTGTGCTTCATCGAAAATCCAACCAATGAATGTGATATGGGACAAGTCCTGGCCTTCCTTATAATTTTCACTTGCGATTTGGCCAAAGGGCACTGGTGGCAATGTTGCGTAGTGCTAACGTGTCGAGATTATACAGTACACTGTCATGGTTCGGGTACTGTTGGGTCTGTTGATAAGGCCTAGGCAAAGTCAAAACCGCAGTATACCCTAAATGAGTATGCCTTTTGGAAAAGCAAGTCTGGGTTAAATTCAATGGAGACATAAATTCTACTAATATCATTGTAAGAAAGTCTAGCTACCAGTCCTCTTATCACCTTAAACGAAATATGACGAATATACTTTAAATTTAAATGATCTGATGATAATCTCGAAAACATAACTGTAAACGAAAAATAAACAAATAAGGCAATATAAATAAAACAATAATAACAATATCCTAATATAAATTGTTGAAATGAAAAATAGTAGAATTACATCATGTTTTTTTTTTCAGTCCAAACTCCAGCACAGGGATAGTCGGAATAATTAAGATAAAATTGAGAACCAATTTTTGTTAGTTTGACCTCGTTTTCAGATAACTAGATAATTTCTACAATTTTTACGTCACCCAGACCAAGTACAGAAAACAAGATTCAACCCAACAGATACGAATAAAGGAGACTATAACCAAAATGAAGTCCCCATTAATTAGGTCTTCCAATAAATATTTAACTAGCTCACCTAATCGGTAAGCATTTTCCGCAAGGCTTACATGAGAGTTTAGAGTTAAACAATCTTTTTTTGTAGATGTGAAGACCAAGATGTTGTGGCCTCGGGTATGGTCGCAGTCTCCTTTCGACTTATTGAAGTG